AGAAGGAAGAAGAGAAAGAGGAGGAGGAGGAGGAGGAGGAGAAGTTGGAGGGTTGACCATTTCGGGAGTGTCGGCGCACGGCTGATCGATGCAACAGCAGCGCCGCTACGAGGCGTATGGTAGGAGGGAAAGGGCAGAGGGTAAGCCTCCCTTCCACCCTGTGTCGGCCTTCTCTCCGGCATATCCCTCCCTCTCGGACCGTTGCACGCGTACTAACCGAGCGGCGCGCGTTCGGCTTCTCCGCTCCAGCCATCCCCCTCCAACCTTTGCGTCGCTCCTCCACCACCACCGCCGCCAATTTTCAGATAGGGGTTGCTTCGACGCGACGCGACGCGACGCGGACCACCGATGCGCCCTCTCGCTCTCCTCCTCCTCCTCTCCGTCCTTTCGCTCCTTTCTCCCTTTCGTGCCTTCCTCTCGCTCTTTCTCCCCCTCGCGCTCCCTCCCTCGCAGCCTCAGTTCTCGCCTGAAGACCGTGCGGTGTACAGGTGATCCGGCTCGTGCGTATTCACCCTCTCCGCGCTCGAGTTTGTTCGCCCGCCGTTGCTCGGGNGTGCTGCCGCGTTGCCACGAGGAGGACGCACGCTCTGTCCTGCCGCGTCGTCGACGAGGTGCGCTTCCTTCTTCTTCTTCTTCTTCTTCTTTTTCTTTTTTTTTTTTCTTCTCACCAATTCTCCTCAATTCCAGTTTCTCCTTCGTTTCGGTTTCGGATCGTGCGCCTCGTCTTTCCTCCACCGAACTTTGTTCCTCCAGCAACGAAATCATCCTGACAGGTTCCTCGTTTCGACTCTCTCTTCGTAGGAGAAGAATTTTCTACGTGTTGTGTTGTGCTCGTTCTTTCCGTTCCTTCCTCGTTCGACTAGTCCTCGATGGAAACCTATCTCCTATCGTTTCTTCCGCGTTCTTCGTGAAAGTGATTCGACGACGAGAAAAACCTTTTTCCTCGTCCTTCCTCCGAACGCCTTCTTTTTCTTTGATATTTCGAACGAGGACGAGATCCGCTCGAGATTGTGCGCCGTGTGTAATAATTCATCGGAGATGAGTTTTCGATCACGTGGGTGGACGATCTGCTTCCATGGTATCTCGATAGCCTTCGACTCGATATTCTGGAGAATATCTCGTTGCTAACGCGACGGGTTTAGTTACTTCGCCGTCCCCTTTTAATCTCGCTCCTTCGAGAGGAATCCTTTTATCGTTCGCGAGGTAATTAAAAAGCTCATTCGTTGTTCGTACCGTTGAGAACTCGCCCAAAGTTTTCTCTCTCTCTCGTCGATGTTTAATCTACGAAACACGCGACGCATTACGTACGATCACGTGGTTGCCTCGTTCATCGTTCTTCGCCGTATCATGGCCAATCGTAGATTCACGAGATTATCGTGATCCTCTTCCACGCTCTTCTCCCCAATTAATACGTTAAAAGGCGATTCTTTTCAGGGGCGTGCAATTATAACGTGATTAATATCCTCGCGAATTATATATTCGCGTAACTCGGGACGGAATGATTTATCCTCGCGCGGTAACCACCGGTATTAAACTGGATTCTCACGGTGCTTCTAAATAATAGGAAGCGTTAAATTGGCTCTCGAGTTTGTGGGATCTAGCGGGATCCGAGTCTTAAGTTCTTTTTCTCGTCTGTGAAACACGCAGTTGCCCCGTCCACGTGTCTTCGAATTGGATTTCCCGGCGAATCTCGTTTCCCGGTTTAGATCCCGTCCTTGTACTTTTCGCTCCGCGATATTTTTCCTTTTTTTTTTTTTTTTTGTAAAACTGGTCGACTTATAGATAGAACGTTGGTTTTCTTTTTCTTTCTTTTTTTTTTTTTTATTTTTTTCGAATCGAAAAGTATCGAGAATCGAGGAGCGAGAAAAAACAATGGGGCTTGGAAGAGATAACCGATGAAACGTCTGGGAAACGGGAATACCGGTTATACGCGTGACACGTCAAAAGAACGGGTAGCATTGTGCTCCATTTC